TGTTTGGGCTCACATTCATTGGTCGTTATTAGTATTAAAAGTATTAGAGAATCCAATTAACAGTTAAGCAAATGTGTAATAAAATAATTATTTGAGAACATTGTTCTTAATAATAAATATAATGCCAGTGTTTGGGCTCACATTCATTGGTCGTAAACCCCATCCCCGGAGTAACACTAATTCAAACTCTTGCTTATAATTGCTTTCTTTAATTGAAAATTATATAAACTGTCGATTAAAATGATAACAAACGAAGCGTTAAATGATTGCAATTATACTTAATTAATACGACAGTTGTGTTGATCTTTTGGGAACAACATTCACGACTACATTAGACTCTAATGATTAGAGGCGAATATAACCAAACATTTTGTTTTATCAAATACCTGACAAAATATTGCCGCAAATCTACCAATAAATAAGCTCTCATAGTTATAATATTATTATACTTATACCGTACCGTATAATTTAAATTTATTAACTTAAAGTCATTTATAATGAAAAACTATTTCCAAAAACTAATTTAGAAATATGTGATGTTTGCATTAAATGCAGTCTAAGATTAATATTTTTTGAATTAGCTTTTCAAATACTAAAATCATGTATAAATACTTATGGATTAAATTTGAACTGTAATATGATGTAAACATGTTTTTCGTAAATTAAAGGTTCTTATATAATAAAATACTTTATGATATATTAAAATAAGTCTATTTTGCATTATACTAGTACTCATTCTAGTTATTATAAATTAAGCCAAATATAAATCAATTGCTTTTGAAGGTAAGAACAAAAGTGCGCTTAACTTCCAGATGAATATAATCTGCAATTTAAGTGTTAAGTCATTGTATAAGTATTATAAAACATACGATATTTAGTATTTAAATTGAACTCAAAATTACAGAAATTTAAATTTTAGAAGTGCTCACAAAAAAGCAAAACTTGAATTTTATGTAATCCCAGGCGTTAATAGATTTAAATATAGGAAGTTATGAGAGAATTACACGGACTTTAGTTGGAGTTCAACCAAAAACTGAAAATACTTTTAAAATCGTAAGAAAAGAAAGTTTTCCAGACGTTTGAACTTCAATCTAATTATCAGTTAACGACTGAATCTTTTCATTAAATTTAAATTTACTTTTTTTTATCGGAAACATATAATTGATTTAAACTAATGAATATTTAAAATATTTCATTCATAAAATTAGCGCTTATTATCTAAACATTAATTGATAAATAGTTTTTAATTAGATGCCAATCGATGTATTGACTGTTAACTTATGATTTTAATCAAACATTGCACTCATGTATACAAAAAAAAGTTGAGCGAATGGGTTTATGAATTAAAAAAGTCCAAAAATGTATTGTATGGATGGCCAGACCATGAGGTCATTGAAAGTTCAATTCTGTTGACTTCAATACAATTGATGTAATTTTGATGTTAAGGAAGAGTAGAGAATAATCAATAAAGTGGTCGAATGTTGTGCTCATTGTTGTATGACTTGAGGCTTATTTCATATATTTTATGGATTACTGGTATTGTGTTGGCCATCGCCGCAGACATATCATTATCTATGAAATATAAAATTTTTCAATAATTTTCTTTTCATTCGTATTGATTGGAAAACTTGCAATAGTTTTGTTGGTTTTGCTATTTTCTATGGTTTGTTGTAATATCTAATATAAAACCGTATATTTAAGAGTTTAGAAGCACTTAATCAACTCAAGTATGTAGTATTGTAAATATATTATCAGAATTTAAATGAATATAATTTTTTATGTCCATCCGAGCCCTGAGTTTAATGGAGACAATTACCGAGAGATTCGTGAACTCTATTGAATTGTCAGACAATGGGTTTATGTATAACTGTATGTCTTATGTCTTGGAAGGAATGCCTAAGTGTTTGAATACAATCAAAATGTTTCGGTTGTGGGAAAAAAGTCTTCTTTTATTATCTGATGGCAGGCATTAAACTTAAGAGTAGTTTTGCCGTTGAATTTCATTTGAGTTAAGATATCGCTTCCAAAAGGCTATTATAAATGAAGAAGTTATACATAAATGACTCAAACTAACTCTTAATGCAATCATTATTAATACGATTAAAAATGCATAAAAACAATGAATTAATGTTTTCAACAAAAACGTTTAGATAATCGAGATGATTTTCACATTTGATAATATAATATAATGGTGTTTTAAATATATATTATTTTTTATTATTGTTTTATTTATTGTACTTTTAATCTCCTTTTATCGATATAAACACTTGTAGATTATTTTGTACATTTCGGTCAAAATCATAACCTTTTTAAGTGTCTATTTTAGGGCATTAACTATAAAAATAAATGTTTATAAACTATAAATACATTTAGTATAAAATAAATATAGTATGCATTTATAAAAACTTTGTTTACTTTTGTTACACTTTTGAGTGAATTATAAAAAAAATACAATTATTTAATTAGATTTTAGATGACATCTCATTATTTAAAGAATACAAATTTGATGACAATTAAAGTCAATCACAAATCTAGTATGTTATACGATATCGTGTGAACTAATTATTACAATTATCAAAATTAATTTCTATTATTATATCAGTTTTTAGGACAATGGATGATATAATATAATTCGTGTATTTACTCACAATTAACTATTGGTTTTGTTAGGAAAATGTTAAATAATAAATTTATGTCTAAAATAAGTTATTTGCCTTATACTTTGTTGTTGTTAAAAATAAATTATTGTCTTAATTTTTTTAAAAACAAAACTGCACTTAAAGTTTAAAATCATACTTTACTTTACCTGTAATTTGCAAATATTTTAGGTCTTCAACAACAATGAATTTTACAGATTTTGTTTGATCGATAAATTTACATATGTTTCATAATCATAATATTTACTTGTATATGATTTTAATTATTAACTTAAGTAAATAACTCAATGATTATACAATTATTATATGATTTATGTTCTCATTCATATAGTTAATAACATGAAATGAATTATCAATTCATCCAACAAAAACATAATCTCTCTCTCTCTCTCTCTCTCTCTCTCTCTCTCTCTCTACGAATTGTTTTAAAATATTTTGAAATCTTTCTGAAATATATTGAATTAATGAAACCTTCGCCTCAAAAAATCGTCTTAAGGGTCATGAATGGCACGATATCTGCGAATATTAGTTATATTAGATTCAGACCATAACCATAACCACATCAGATGAGCACCTGTTAATCATTACAACTATAGGATGCCATGACTTCATATAAGTCTACCTTATATTGCAATGCTATTTAAAGCAAAATATTTTATTAATTTTATTATTTATTTAGTTTTATGCTTTTCTTATTACCGGTAATTTTAATTCATTGTAAAAATGTTTCATTTATTTTATATATTTTAATTTTAATTTATTTACACTATTAATAGTATAACTTCTTATCTAAAACTTATTCACAATGTTTTTGCTTTGAAAAATCCCACAAAAATCACGATTATTTCCAAAATAAGGCAGAATTATTAGGATAAAAATCTTTTACTGAATTATATTTCTGGTTAATATTAAAAAAAATAATAATTAGTTTCTTATATTAATAGTTAATTTATTGGAAATAATTCAAGGTTTTGAATGAATAATCATTCAGTGGTTTGAATGCTTTTTTGACACTTTAATTCCCATCAGAATTCTTTGTGTTTAGAAATTTTGTGGTTTCTTTTATTTCATTTCAATAGGAGTGTAATTTTCGACTCAAATTAAATATAATCTAAAAAATAGATTCTTCTGCAATACAATTAGTAAATACTCTGTACATGAAGTAATACTACCGCAGTATTGTATAAATCATGTGATCTCATAATTTAATTAATTAAACATTTATTTATCAAATATCATGAATTGTTTGTCAAAGCACGCAATTGTTAAGAAACAAATATAATGTATGATTGTTTAGTTTAAATTACAATGTAATGTGATTTAAATTTATTTTTAACTTATTGAGAAAATGACCAAAAGATTAAAACTAAAGAATTTTACATTTTATGGATAGAAATATTTTTACTTTATAATTACCGCAATATAATTAATATTTATATTTTAATCGTAAGTATTATTATATCGTAAACTTTAGCTTTTAGTGTTGCAATAAATTTTTAAAATAGTGCCATAAATTGGAATAATTTAAAAAACTTTTGTCTATTTTTCTAAGTGTTGTTTAAAAGCTATTATGACTTAAATCCTTGTTTTTCTAAATAACACTGTTTTCTGAATACAAGACGAGATGATAAACAAATTAAACGAAACACAATTACATTCAGTATTACCCAATATTACGATATAATTAAAGTTTTTATTTGTTTTGGAAAATAGTTAACAATGATTAGTAGTTATTCATTACAATCATTGGCCCATTCGCTCGATTTTTTTTCTCTCGAAATACTATTATATAAATATTTTTTGTATTTCGCAAAAAAATATTTTATGATTTTTAATGAAAACTTGTAAATAATGATTAAAATTGTATACATTATAATAAAAATCAGTGTTATATCATTAAGTCTACGGCTTATAATAATTGAATGAATTTCTTAATAGAAATGCTATTTTCTTAAAGAAAACATTTGATGCGTTAATATCCTCTCAAATGAGGTCAAGGATTGAAAATTTTTCTTAACGTATATACGGCTCAAGAATATGAATAAAGAGTTTTTTTTATAAATTTATAGATTTCAATATAAAAATTAACATTTAAGACGTCCTTCACTTTGTATAACACATTATAAATAATAATCATTATAATGAGAATTGAGTTATTCTGTACATACACTCAAAACTACTATAATATTGTAATCATTAAATTATTGTTTGTCTCTCCATTCAATAGCAAACAAAAGTTTTACAAAAAACATAAATAAAACTTTTAAACAAATTTTCATTAACCGAATCCTATTATAAAAAGCTTTTATGATATTAACGGCAATTGTTGTTTGTGTGTTTCAGAGGCCAAATCCTGTGCCCACCCGTCCATTCCCCTCTATTCTCAGGTCACTTTGTCTGATGAGCGCAATCTGAGCTACGGGTCGACCGCCACCTATAAGTGCGACGACGGCTATGAGCTGTTCGGCACTTCAGTCAGAATATGTTCGGACGGAAAATGGACGGGAGATCTGCCATATTGTGGTCAGTATTACACACATTTCCACTCATTTAATAGATTTGAGATGCAATTGATGTCTGAATATGTATTGAATGACTGAATGGTGAATAGCTGTGAACGTGGCGTACGGCAAACCAACCAACCAGTCGAGTACTGTTCGCGGCGGTGACTCTCGCAATGCCAACGATGGGGACATCACTGCTATCCACGAGAATAAGTTCTGTACGGAAACGAAGACAGAGTCGAGTCCGTGGTGGCAGGTGGACCTCCTACAGCCCTATGAGATCAAAGTGGTTAGGATTGTGACGCGCGGCTGCTGTGGTCATCAGCCACTACACGATCTCGAGATCAGAGTTGGCAACAGTTCCACAGTTCAGGGCAACCGGTTGTGCGCCTGGTTTCCCGGAACGTTAGGTTTGTTCGCATCCCAGTCCACACAAACCATTGTTTTAACATTTCTCTTATATTCAACTCTAATTAAACCATTAGACGATGGCATGCATAAAGACCTTCCCTGTGCTGTTCCTATAACGGGCCGATATGTATACATTCAAATGGTTGGCATTGAAGGCTCCCTATCCCTGTGCGAAGTGTTTGTTTTTACGACAAAAGGTATGACTAATTTAAAAGCTATTATCACTTAATATCACATTCAAAGACAATAAGCTATAATTAAATACAAATACTATGTTATGTTTGAGTCGATTACATGACATTGAAATTAAATTATCCATGTTTTGAAACTTTATCCATGTTTTGCAACTTTGAACAGAGTTTTCATCGGATCGGTGCGGGAATGCTATGGAATACCAACAGTTGACTCCTTTCAATAAAACGTGTTATGAGTTTCAGACACAAAGAGGCGGATCATTCAGTGATGCCGAGTCTTATTGCAAAGCCAGGGGTGGTTTAGTAGTGAACTCCGTGGTCGATGTCAGCCATAACTTCCTATTCTATGAATTGGAGAGAATTAAGCCTAAACTCAAGTCAAAGCTCGTATGGCTGGGCGCCCGTCGGGAAGTCCATCAACACAACGGACCGAGTTTTCATCGGTCAAGAGCTTCGGTATGGCATTGGGTTAACGGACAGCCCGTCACTACCTTCCTGTGGGCTGAAGACCAGCCAAACAATTATAACGGACAGCAGAACTGTATAGTTCTGGACGGCGGCCGCAAATGGATGTGGAATGACGTGACCTGTGATTTGGATTATCTTTCGTGGATTTGTCAGTACAGACCATCCAATTGTGGCAGTCCTGACAAAAACGAAAACACCACTATTATTGAGAAAGATTACCGGGTGGGACAGACAGTCTCATACCAGTGCCCAATTGGTAGTCGATTAGACGGTGCCGCTCAGCGTCTCTGTCAAAGCAATGGCTTTTGGCAGCACTCGGCGCCCACCTGTCAGTACATCAATTGCGGTCCATTACCACACATACCTCACGGGAGGGTTGAGTTTGTAAATAACTCGCTGACAACCTTTAATGCCAGCGCTCGCTATAGTTGTGATGAAAACTATACTCTTGTTGGCAATACTACTCGAGTATGTCAGGGGAATAGCACCTGGAGTGGTACTGAACCTAAATGCCTATACAGCTGGTGTCCGGTCTTGACTTTTATACATAACGGTGCTATCAATATAACAAACCGCACTGAGAATGGTTTGGCGACCTATACCTGTCATAAGGGACACATACTTGTGGGTAACTCTACCCGCAAGTGTCAATTGGGTGGCAAATGGACAGACGAGGAGCCGGTTTGCAAATGTAAGCATTGATTGAAAGCTATTCTAATGTTTTGAGAGCTGAAGGTATTTAACGGTTGGATTGTTTCTGACATATAGTCGTTGACTGTGGAGTGCCTCTTGAGGTGAGAAACTCGCGATTCCGGTTACTTAACGGCACCACATATTACAACAGTGCTGTGAAGTATGAATGCGACCAAAACTACACCATTGATGGCGCAGAGTTGCGTAACTGTACGGAACTGGCGAACTGGAGTGGCGTTGAGCCCATCTGTAAACGTATGTCTCGTGTCTTATAAAAAGATAATAGAAATAGATATCAAACATAATTTGTATGAATTGCATTTAATTTGAATGACATTTGTTGCTCCAGTGATTGACTGCGGAAAACCAGTTGTCCCCCCAGGGGTTAGGCTCATGAGTGACTCATTTACAGTCCATTCAGAGATCACCTACGAGTGCGAATCGGGTCACAAACTGGTTGACGGCGAGAAGAAGCATAAGTGCCAACCCGATGGAAAGTGGAGCGGCACCGTTCCTGTTTGCACTGGTATGCACTCCACACTCTACCATCTAATTATATGCAATTATAGCTATGTTTTCACAATTAATCATAAAAACTCTTGTTTCGAGTATTTTGGATATTGTTTTGAATTAATTCTTATATTAAGACTTATTAGTTAGGAATACAATGAATACAATGAATACAATGAGTGTAACTCTTTTGATATTATATTTGATGTGAACAGCCGTTGAGTGCGGAAGAGTACAGACTATATTGAAAGGAGAAGTGGTTTACACCAATTCAACTACTTATTTGAACAGTCAATTAGTCTACTCGTGCAGCAGTGGCTACAAACTCATTGGAACTAAAACACGCGTTTGTAGTGAGGACTCACGATGGTCTGGATCTACACCTAAATGTGAAGGTATTGATTGGCACGACCACTGGTTTTATTCATTTAATTCAAAATGATATGTATTTCCAATAGAAATCCGATGCGTTTCTCCAGAAATTCCCAAAAATTCATCAGTTGTTTACAGTGGAAATGATAGATCAACCAGTGATTCATTCAAAGTCGGTTCTACTGTACAATACCGGTGCTCTTTGGGACATATAGTTCAGGGACAGTCACTTAGAACATGTGAATCGAATGGCTTTTGGTCTGGAGGGCCACCCATTTGTGTTTGTAAGATAATTAATATAAAATTATCATAAGATTTGTTTCTAAAATTATTTTCAAACCAAATTTAAGACATTGATTGCGGCCTTCCGTTTCCCATATCTCATGGCAAATGGTTACTCAGCAGTAATACCACTTATTATGGAAGTACTGTTGAGTACGTTTGCGATCAGAACTTTAAATTAAATGGTCCGGGAAGGAGGATATGCTTAGAGAATGGCACCTGGAGCAGTTTGCCTCCCATTTGCGATGGTATTAATTTTACAATAACTTTACTTTTTTACTTAAAAGTTTATTTTCGTATCAGTCGTGACGTGTAATAAACCTGAAACCAAAGACGACAAGTCCATTGTCGAGGCCAACAGTTTTTCAGTCGGCGCTAAAGCATATTATTCGTGTTCTTATGGCTTGGAATTAGTGGGCGAAGAGATGCGGACGTGTCAGCCGTCTGGCCTGAAACCAAAGACGACAAGTCCATTGTCGAGGCCAACAGTTTTTCAGTCGGCGCTAAAGCATATTATTCGTGTTCTTATGGCTTGGAATTAGTGGGCGAAGAGATGCGGACGTGTCAGCCGTCTGGCCAATGGACTGGAGATATACCTTATTGTAGACGTGAGTTCACATTATTTGTACTATTTTATGGAAAATCAGAAAACGTGTAAAATTAATTTCCCTATTCCTTTAAATATTAATCAAAACATTTGTTTTATAAAGTTGTGGACTGCGGTCGTCCTCCAGTCATACCTAATGGAAGGGGATATTTAGTGAACGGAACGACACTATTTGGAAGTATTGTTGAATACCATTGCCTTCCAGAGTTTAAACTTTTAGGCGATTCTCAACAACGCAAATGTTTGGCCACTGGGGACTGGTATGAGTGATAATTTAAGATTTTCCTTCAGTTTTAACATTGATTTTCTAATCATAATCCCAGGAGTGGGACAATCCCGAGATGTCTTGAGTTGGCCATCGCTAATGAGATTGAGAACAATATTGACGGCCAATCAGATGAGCACTCATTTGATGCCATTGAATCTTCTAAAGCAATCGGCATAGGAATAGCCGTCGGGGCCGGCGCTCTGCTTATCCTTACTATTATAGTCGCCGTCATTTGCCTCAAGGCGTAAGTTATTTGCTGTGAAATAGTGATGAAAATTTATTGATTAACTAAACCTAACAAATCATTTTTCGGAGTTGGCCACTTCTTATGTCTCTTGCAGCTTCACTTGGCTGTCGGCCTGTTTCTGTGCCGATGACAGTACAGTATGAGAGCAGATTCAGAACTCTGCCTTCGCCGGCGAGCCGCCGCTGCCAATAGTCTCCCTCATAACGGTGCGATTCGGCACCACCCCAATGGTTTGGTCACATTTAGCCCCCCTCCGGGTCACCAAAACCAGCCCCTGTATGCGAATACAACCGCATTTAGAAACCATAATAATACAAACGGCAATACAGTTAGTGTTGCCATACGTTCAACACAACCACAAAGTGCCTCAAGATTTGCGTCAATCAACTCAAATGGAAACGGCGCTCACGGAGGACACGGAGGACACGGAGGACATTCACTTCATATGCAGAGCCATAACGTCTAGCAATAGACTATTACAACACTAAATCTATTTGTGATAAAATACTATCACCTGAACTATAAATGTTAATTTACTGCCGTATGTTTAGGTGTCAGTGCATTTTGGATCCAATGAACTGATCTTTTAGTGAATTTTGGCTCAATGTCTTGATTATATGTCTTTTGTATGGTTTTATTTATTGACAAACTTTTTTGACATTCCAAATGAATATTTGTGTCAATTATATCTAATAGATCTTATATACAGAATATATTTGATACATTTTTAGAGCTTTGACTTTTCAGAGAATCGTAAGTTTTGAATACTGTAATTGAATTATTAGACTACATCTCACTGTCATAAGAAAATCTCAGAATTTCCTAATTCTTATGCAATTAAGAAAACTTTAAAAGTTAATACTTTATAACAAAGTGAAGAATATATTGTGATAATAATTAACTTCATCCATGAGTTTATTACATTCCAGCAACACATAATTCTCAATATATTTACAAAATATTTACAAAACAATATTTTTATACGAAAAAGATTTTTATACATCATTTAAACTTTATTTTTATATCTTGATGGCATTTTAGAGTTATTTGATAAGTAATAAAGAAACAGTTTAATATTTTTATATTATATAAATTCAGACAATAATACTTATAATATAATATAATATACTTTTTTTAATGACAATAACTGTTAAGAGTTATCACAGGACTTTGAGTATGTGTCCATTAAATGAAAATCTTATTTATTATCTTATGGTCCAATTTTTGTGAACGAGTGAACCTAAATCCGAGTGACTCTTATTTTTGATAAAATTGTATAAATAATGTGTAGATATTATGATAATTAGATCCAAAATAAGCTCATGTTTTCAATTATAGTGTAATTCAATAGACATATCACTAATTCATCAAAACATTATTCATTCAAATCACGACAACATTGTGTAATTAACTTTGCGTTGAAATGTGTGCTAAGAATCGCTTCTATTGTAAGCTTTGATTTATTTATAATTGTATTTATAATTCAAATCACAAATAAAATAATTTTCATTTCATTCACTATTTATAACTGTTTTTGTTGTTTTAATTTTAATTGTTTTATTTTTAGCAACAAATGGAGAGAATATAGACTCGTTTTGACCTAAAATTAATGGGAGTCTCAACATTTGTCTTATTTTTTACAATATGACACACTATTCACTGCATTCAATTAGACATTTCATTTAATTAGACTAACATTATTGTATTCACTTAAGTCTCTATCATGTTTTGATTTTTAACTTTCTTATTAAATTAATAGGAAATATTAAAGTATTTATCAATAATACGATTAGTACACATAATTTTTTGTAAATTAATACAATCTTATTGAAACTATTGTGGACATTTGGTCTACTTATTGATACTAAGCACAGGTTAGTAAAATCAAATTAATTTAATAGTCCACCACCTATTTATTTGTGTCAATCATTCAGCTCATTATTTGTGTTGATTAAGTTATCAAATACATAAGGTTATCATTGTAATACTCAATGTAATAATAACTTAACTAAATTTTATATAAAATTATTATCTTGTATTTTCATTGAATATATTATTAATGCTGATTTAAGTATTAAATGAATTGAGTTTTTAAATGTCACATTTAAACAGTTTTGATATTACTGTACTTATATTGTACTTATGATAATTCGTTTTTATGCTCTATTAGATATTAATATATTATTAATGCAGATTTAAGTATTAAATGAATTGAGTTTTTAAATGTCACATTTAAACAGTTTTGATATTACTGTACTTATATTGTACTTATGATAATTCGTTTTTATGCTCTATTAGATATTACCAATAAAATTACTAATAAATTAGTTATTTATTAAATATTTTAATTACTATAATTTGAATTTTAAAAAATTATTTAAGTTTATAAAAGTTATCTAACAAACTAATTATGAATACCATCAAAGGAAATCCTCTATTTATTCAGGATTTTCATATAAATCTAATGTGGCAAAGTTTGAATATATTTGTTTCAATTTACAATATTAATATTCTGTGCACAATTTATGGGAGTATTTATTTATTATTTATATACAGTATATTATAATTTATTTTTTAAATTCTACATGAAAACTATTAAAAATGAAAGTATTTTTGTAAAAATTATAACAATAAAACTATTAATATTAGCCAGCATCCAGTCAATTGTTTAGCAATAGTAAATACCTGACCAATTGTGAGTCCAGTAGACTTGGGATGAATGCATCTGAAAGGCGTTTACTGTTTGTGGTGTCATTGAAAAATTTAAAACCAAGGTTTGGCTGATTATTGATATACATGTATACAAGAGATTTTCCAATGCCATTACACACTCCCAGACTCTGGTATAAAAGTAGGAATATTTTAGATATCACATTTCACTCAAAGTTTGAATCTTTTAAATTATCGCAAAACTAAAGTTATGGCCAAATATACAGTTGAAGTAATTTCAAAGCATATTTGCCAACTGGGAGAGGGTCCTCATTGGGACCAAAAGTCTCAGACACTGTATTACGTGGACCTAATTGGTGGTGATGTGTGTCGTTTGGACCCAAACACACAGGAATCAGAAGTGGTTCACATCGGAGGCATTGTTTCGGTTTTGGTTCCCATTAACAACAACAAAAATGAGTTTATCATAAGTCAAGACAACAAACTTTATAAACTCGATTGGAGTTCTCAACAAAAACAACTGTTAACCGAAATTGAGAGCCATTTGGATAAGAATCGATTCAATGACGGAAAGTGTGACCCAAGCGGTCGATTCTGGGTCGGCACTATGGGTCCCGAGACATCTCCCGGGGTATTCGTTGACAACAGAGGTTTTATTGTTCACTAATACAACACTTCAATTATTCAATGATATTCATTTCATGTATAGGTGCTCTTTATAATTATGGGTCTAAAATTGAGAAAAAGTTTGACCCTGTTAATCTATCCAATGGTCTGGCCTGGTCGTTAGATAACACCAAAATGTATTTCATTGACTCAACCAAAAGAATTATTTATTCTTTTGATTTCGACATTAAGAGTGGAAATATTGGTTAGTTTTGTGTTCCGATTATAAAGAATATGAATATTATTTGTCTTTTCAATCAATATTTAATTAATATTTGTTAGAAAACGCAAACGTTTTCTTTGATTTCAACAAAAAGAAAGATTTGGCGGAAAACATATTACCCGATGGTATGACTATTGATAAGCAGGGAAACCTATGGGTCGCCTGTTTTAACGGCGCGAGAGTTATCAATATTTGCACAAAAAGTGGTGAGTTTTGCATAATTAAAATTCACACATTGCAGGAATTGTCTGAAAAATAAATTAATAGAAAGTCAATGCCAACGCAAAATAAGCTTAAAATTAAAAATATTTATAATTAAATTTAATAAATTCACAAAATAAGCAAAACATAATTGTTAACATTGAATGTTTTTTATTGTTTTGCTTTTAAAAATAATACTGCATTCATAATTCAACAGCGATCGCTCAATAGTTAAATATAGAATTTATTTAAATAATATCCACTTCTACTCTATAGTAAAAAATAAAATGTAAAAGTTTTTCTAACTCCAAGGAAATCATATAATTTATAAATTTATAATTTATTTAGACTAATATAAATGAAAACTTATTTAATATTAGATTTAAAAATGTATTTGTATGTACGTAGATTCTACGGTAAGATAAAAGTTTTAAATGATAAATATTTAAATCGTAAACAATTTTTCAATGATTTTTATATACAGTATTAAAGATATGAGACTATATAATAACAGATTAATTGTTTCTCACAAACAAACTGACCCGACATTGAACCCATCAAAAGTATTCAGAGTTTCATTTTTGATTATAATTTTTTTTGATAATTTGTACTGACATATACTGTACTTGGATTAATGAGACATTTATATAAGTTAAGATACTTTTCTGGCATAGACTTTGCTATTCAATTAAATTTAATATAATTTTCTAACACACGAACAACTATATTAATATTAAAATACATTGAAACAATAATTAATTGCTATAATATTTAATAATGACCATAAATGATAGTATAATCTAAACCGAAAATACTAAAGAATATACAGAATATAAAGAATAGTGTATTGATATTATGTAGAATAGAGTGGTTGTTGTTTAGGTGTTGTAGTGTTGCAGTGGTGTTGAAACGGTCCCTAAAAATGTATACTATTTATGTACTTAACAGTGAATCACATGTTTGTGTATTTCAGGCCAAATCATTGATACGATTAGTTTGCCCACCGATTGCATTACATCCGTGTGTTTCGGTGGCCAACACTTGGATCAGCTCTTCGTGACGACCGCTTTGTGGCCATTGAACGACGCGAGAAGAGCTCAACAGCCAAAGGCTGGACATCTGTTTCGCGTCACTTCAGACGAGAAGACTTTCGGCGGATTTGAATCCAGTTATGAATTCAAAGAGTGATTTCAATTGATTTAAAAAGTTTTCATACAAAAGTTTATATATTTTTAACTCAATTATGATGTCATTAAAAGTAATCAACAATTCAATGATTAATTGTTTGAAATTATGTCCAAAATTACTAATAAATACACAAATGTTTGTCAAAAATGAATCACTTCTTCAAGTGATGGACAAAAAGTTTGTAAACTTTTCGATACGTGTCTGTCATTCAAACCATAACTCAATGACCGATGAAATTGACACTAATTTGCATAATAATCACCGTTTGGACGAAACTAATTCATCACAATCTGAATGCACTGAAGACATAGACTTCCGAAACCAATTGAGTTCTAACGAGAGAAGAGTTCCCAAAACATATGGCGAGTATCGACTGCAACAGCGGGTGGATGTGAATCAGCCACCGATGCCACGACTGGTAAGAGTGGCAGTCATTGGGTCGCCAAATGCGGGCAAATCGACGCTCACTAACCAATTGGTCGGAAGGAAAGTGAGTTCAGTGTCCACTAAAGTGCACACAACCAGACATAAGGTGATCGGCATTATTGTGGCCGACGAGACACAAGTGGAACTGTTGGACACACCAGGAGTGGTCACCTCAAGACACTGCGCCAAACATCAACTCGAGTCTACTTTCATGAGCGACCCGTTGACCGGAGCCGAAGCGGCGGATGTGATCGCCGTCATCAACGACGCCTCGAATATCCGCGAAAGACATCGTCTGAATGCGGGTATCATTAAACTCTTAGAGAGACATCCGGACAAAGAGTCGGTTCTTATTCTCAATAAAATCGACAAAATGAAAGAAAAACGAAAACTATTGGATATAACGACTGAATTGACGTGTGGTGTCGTCGGAGGAATATCTTCTATTAAGACTAAGAATATTGTGATTCCCGACTCCAAAAAGGGTTTGGAATCACTGTTTGAAAGGACTGAACAAAAAGTGAATTCAAACTATTCATCAAAAGTTGAAAACACAGACAATGATGAAGACCTTGAAGAGAAAATCGGTTGGAATCGCTTTTCTCGAGTTTTCATGACTTCAGCCCTAACTGGCGATGGAATCGAAGACATTCGACAATATTTCTTAAGTATAGCTCGCTTTCATCCGTGGCTATACCACAGATCACAAGTGACGGATCAAAATCCTCATGAGTTGGTAAGGAATACACTGAGAGAGAAGTTCTTAGATTTGTTGCGCGAAGAGATTCCTTATAAGATCCACTTTGCGGTGACCATGTGGCACGTGGATCAGTTGGGAAACCTATTTATATCAGTCGATGTCTTGTGTCCGCATAAGTTTCAGTCTCTAGTGATTGGACCCAAAGGCCAAACCATCGCAACTGTGGTCAACGCATGCAAAGAGAGTCTTCAGAACACCTTCTATTGTGATGTATCCCTCAAACTCATTGTCAAACCCATCAAAAATAAATGATCTTTCGATCAATTCATTGCAATTCACTCATGAGTTTTGATTTTGATTTATTCTAATCATTCATAGATTATACTATTATAATGTACTTTTGTATCTTTAAATAGTTTTATAAATAGTTAAATCAATTTAAATGTATACTGTATTATCTATAAGTAAATATAGTAGATATTTTGTTAAAACTACAATTATCTGAGTTTTATAATAAACTTTTATTAAAATGTTAAACAAAAACTTTTTTAAACGATTCATTTAGTTTTGTATTAAATTACCTGAATATTCAATTTTTGTACAGCACTTATAGCGCAGGTTAGGTTTTGAACTGTTTGAATTTTAATGTATCGCATCATACATGCAGTAAATTTGCTGCCAAACCTAACCTAACCTAACCTAACATACGACAGGCATGAATGGCAATACCGTAATAGTGTACAGTATAACCATAGCATTGAGTAGATGGCAGTGAGACTGTATGCGAGCATTGCTTACGTTTGAATGAAACCAATGTATGACTGACTCTATGACTGGTGTTAAAGTGTAATCAAAATCACAAATACATTGAAATAGTGTTTCATTTCATCTATTAATTGTAACGTACAAAACATTCACTCAATTCATTGTTATATTTATTTTCAGCAATCAATCAATTATTTATTTAATTTGTTAATTAATTTAGTTAATAATCAAAATATATTTGCATTCAATTGAGTGTGAAGTGTGTATGAATTGAATGAATGGCACATAAAGTGAACATATTTTGTGAATTCATTTCTCAATTGATTTAAATATTAGCAAACATTTCACAAATTGTTGAGTGTTTTCACTGTTAAGTGTTTAGTAAATCACATCTCATTTGATAACAAGTATTAGCGTTTGAATGGTTTGAATGGCTTTCAATAAATTAGAGAAAGAGAAACAGAAATTAGTTTCAGAGAAATGTCAGACCATTTTGGCTCAACTTCTTCGCGATGATGACAACAAGTATTGCGTGGATTGCGATGCGAAAGGTCTGTCCATTTGATCCCATTTTGTCCATTCATTACACGTATATTTGCATACATTTTCAAATGCAAACACATTTGTGTCAATAGATACTGTATTAGCGTTTAGTGTATTCATAGCTTACTTTTATTGTCGTTTACGTCAATGACATGTCATTTATCTCAATGTTTTGACACAACATATTGCAAGTGATGTCTTCACTCTTATTCGTGTCCAATGTCTTAAGATGAGGTCCTCGTGGGCTACATGTGAGCACTTGTGCCCATTGTTTGCCATTAATATTGAACTCATTTCGAGACAATCATTGAAACACTGAATAAACGGTTCATGAATAACAGGCTTACAGTTAATCTAATTATATGTTATATTTAGTGAATATTAATAATTAGGTCTTAAATGAAACCCTAAACACAAACAAATATGTTAATGATCTTAACTGAATTGAACTGAACTGAACTTAACCTGGTAATACAAACAATAGGACCAAGGTGGGCCGCTTGGAACTTAGGCATCTTCTTATGCATCCGATGCGCCGGTATTTAAATTGATCCATAATTGTCTGTTAGTGTCCATTGATATAACAAATTGTATGTATGTGTGGACAGGTATTCACCGCAATCTTGGTGTCCACATATCACGTGTCAAGTCCGTCAATCTGGACGCCTGGACACCCGAACAGATTGCTTGCATTCAAAATATGGGTAACTCTAAGGCTAGGGCTGTATATGAGGCCAACCTTCCGGATAACTTCCGGCGCCCGCAGACCGACTCCACTCTCGAAGCGTTCATTAGAGCTAAATATGAGCAGAAGAAGTACATCGCGAAGGAATGGGTCGAACCTCCGCCCCCTAAACCAGCCGTGAGATAGTCTTGTGTTTATTATTTGATGATTTTATTTATTAAACCATTTATTTGTGTCTAAAGTTTGATATCGAAGAAGAATTGCGTAAAGAAAAGGAGAAGAAACGACATAAGAATAGGACATTTCCAACCCCTGGAAGCGCTCTTGAAGTTCAGGTCTGTCCACAATTCATTCAATTAATAGTTATTTGAAGGCTAACTCTCCGATCAATCACTTATTGTGTATTTGATATATTGTTTGATAACACAATCATTTGTTATAAATATGAACAGAATTGATGTGTTTCGAAGTTTATATTCGCATTGCATGTGAGTTCAATATTTCAAATGTTTTAGCAAACAGTTAATGTCTGGGTTTGAAATAGGAAACTTAACGTTTAATAGTGAAAAATAATCAGGTCATTAATTTAATTCAAGGTTCATTCATTCTTTTACCGTAGTTTAGAAATGTTTTGACCAATAGTTAGAATTTGAATGGAAAATAAGTTTGACATTTAGTTAGAAATATTTAATTAGTATTTTATGACGAATTCTTCAAATAGCTTATTGAGCACTAGATTATAAAATTATAAATTACAAATATCAATGTCATTTGAATTTGAATTGGTTTCATAAGAATTGTGTTAAAAATATGCGGCATTTCAGGCCAACCCTCTGCCCCGTCCCAACTCAACTGCTGTGACAACAACTGCTATAAGTGCTGACAAAATCATACAAAAGACTGAAAATGGGAAGAATAGTGACGACCTGTTGGGACTCGAAATGAATAGCTCTTCGGCGGCCAAAGGGGATGACGACTCATTCGGTCTATTCGTCACTTCTCTCGATTCAAAAGACAATACCTCTGACACTAAGACTGAATCTAAAACTAAATCCGATGAAGAGTCGGATTTCTTTAATCAAAAGGCGCCGACAGATGACAAGAAAGTAATGTCTAAAGAATCGATTTTATCACTCTATGGAAGCGCTCCTCCGCCTTCAATACCACAAACACAACAACCAATTCTTGGGTCGCAGAACACGGCATACAATGCCTCCAATGCATCGCTATTTATGGGACAATTTGTGCCTAATTCCCAACCAATCGCACCACAAACACAAAACGCTATGTTTTTGCCACAAAACACTCCCATCGATGCAATGCACACATCGATGGCACAGACATCGAATCTAATGAGTCAGGTATGATATGTGAGATCACTTTCTCTGTCTGTGGTTTCTGTAAACTCTTTTCTCTTGTCTTCAATACAGTCTAACTTTCCTCTAACGACAAACCCTTTTCTCGCTAACACTTCAAAGAGCTCTAACTTTGGTCAGCAAACTGTCCAACAGGTCTGTGTGTTCTTTCACTTGAATCCACTTCTTATTCTCAGTAAAGTTGATCGAAATGAATGAATTGATTGTGTTTTTAGTTACCACAACATATGGCAACTCTTCAGATGAATCCAATGTCTGCACCCAATCCCCCCGCAAATCCGATCCCAAACAACAATTGGTTCCAAATGGCACCGCAAAACACTGGCTTACCAGTGCCTCAACCCGGAGCCATTAATCCATTTATGACAGCCGCCCCAATACCAGCTGGTGTTCCCTTTGGTAATAACTTTGGTTCATTTGATCTGAATTCCGGCCAAATGTTCCCACAAACCGATAGCAGTAGCTCTCAATGGGCTTTCAATGGCAACAATTCTCTTAATCAATCTTCAGGAGTAACCGCTTCTACCAATTTGTGGCAATAACTCTCAACAGATAATTGTTATTGGATTATGAGTTTTAGTTTATTATGAAACGCTCGATATATATATATAATTAATATAATATTTATTTAAAATATTTGCTCTAATGCTTAGGAATAAAAGAGTTTTGAAATAGTAGTCATTTAAAAGCCATAATTCAAGAGATGACTCAAGAGATTAAGTGTACCTAAAATTGTTTTATACAAAAATGTTACGTTTTTGTTGACGACCCTGTTTATCAAATCAAATTTAATCCCAACACTTAAGCATATATTGAATGAGTATTTTTATTATATTCTGAATATATTTTCTATTTTATTCTCTTTGCAAACATTCCTGAAATGTGACAAATGTTTACATTATTTGAAGACCAATTCAATCACTTATAAGTTATGTTTCACTTAAGACTTTAGGTCTTAAGATTTGTTTCATTTATATTTAATGATAACTTATTTATTCAAAATAATTACAATGTATTGGAAATACTTTAGCAAAAAAAAACAGTGTTTTGTTTTACATTTAATTAAAAATCATTATTTATTTTACCGTAAAATGAGTCGAAAATTATTTGCGTTTTTTGGCGGCACTCGAAGGGGTCGAGTGAGTCGATGATCTCAATTCAGTGGTCTGTTTGGAGACCTGTTTCTTCACTCTTGGAGTCTTGTCTTCGGTGTTGTCATCGCTTTTGTCCGACTGTTTGGTCGACTCCTCCTTTCGCTCGCATTTCGACGAATTCTTCTCGTTTTCGGTCTTCACTTTGGAATTACTTTTAGTCGAGTCTTGAGTCTTACCTTTTGGTCCGCTTTTCGTCGAATTGATGGTCACTTCCATCTCTTCCTTTACGTCTAAGTCCTTCTCAGATGTCTTTCCATTGTTTGTGTTTCTCTTCGCAAACAATTCACTGAATTCTGGATTGTCTTCGATATTGAAAGGAGAGGTTATGTTAGGGAACGGCATGTCTTCGTTGTCGTGCTATTGGTTCGCAAAGTAATCACAATTAGACGCTATAAACCACACAATGGCTGAAGACATACGAGAGTCTCCATGTCGTACATCGTCTCCAATCGGTTCCATATGGTCTTCGACGTGATCTCCTTATCGGTGAGTTTGACGAACTCATCCAAAATGCAGATCATATGGAAGTTCTTCGCCACTCCTGTTATACAAATCCAATCATTAGACTGAGTCTCCATTTGCCATACATTTGTGTTTTCATTGAAATGTCAAATGAATGCCAAACTAATCCTAACTATGAATACAATTCATTGATTGAATCGTGAGTTTAGGGTATACAAATCCAATCATTAGACTGAGTCTCCATTTGCCATACATTTGTGTTTTCATTGAAATGTCAAATGAATGCCAAACTAATCGTAACTATGAATACAATTCATTGATTGAATCGTGAGTTTAGGGATCAGTAGTCTATTGAGAGGGCATTACTTCAGACACTGTCTCACTGTCTGTCCATTCATTGCCACACTTTTGATTCAAATCATTTCGAGTGACACAATGCTATCGACTGAACGCTACACTAAATGTACACTAAATGAGCGCTAATTAACGGAAACTACACTTCAATTGAGTGCATCGATAGGATTGGCATACGTTTGGGTAAAGTATGGGTCAAAACAATGTCTTATTTGTGTCCAACATATTCAACACAATTGCCATTCAATAGCATTACCGACGGGTTTGTGTCCACGCATTGCGTAAAACAATTTGATCTCGTTTTCTGGCGTCCAATCCATTTCAGTCACATTGGGATCAGGTTTCGACATTTCGATCACTCAATCGATGTCTTAATCACACATTTAATGCTTCATTAGTTTCACAATAATAGCGATCAAAGCGAAAGCAATACTTAATTGAATCGAGTTTTTGTCAAATTTTCAAATTCTCTGCTTTTGTTTGCATTTGTTTTGCGCATAAATTACGTCGCATTTCATACGAACCCCTGATTGGAGCGCGCAATTGGTTTGCATTGAAATTGCGCTCAAATTAGTGAACATTTTTGAGCAAAACGTGCACTTTTTCAGTGATGAAAGTGAAGTGCATTTCAAATGCATTTGATTTGATTGATCACTAGTTTTGCACTTTATTTGCCATTCATTTAGCCATTGAATGCAATCAATGGACACACGCTTTGATTGTTTGCTTTCATTTCGATTGCATTTTATCTCTAAATCTCTTTGAATTGCTGTCATTACCTCTCAATCACTTCCACAATACTGTCATTGCTTCCACTCGAAGACATGCGACCACTGAATCTCTGTGAAGACAAACGACTACTTAATTGAAGAGAAATCGTGCCATAAATCGACTGCAAGTCTATAGCCATGAGTGACGACTGGGGCGACGATTGGGAGCCAACGAAGCCGTCGACCACTGACTCGACGACCACTGACTCGACGACCACTGACTCGACGACCACTGCTGTCCAACAAGACTGGGACAGCGGATGGGACAACGGATGGGACAGCAGTTCCGCTAATAATACTAATAAAGAGCCGACGAGTGATTTGAGATCAAAAGGTATTCAATCGTCAAACGATACAAAACGTAAATTTCATGACTCTTTTGATGAACGCAATGATCGGTCAGAGTTTGGACGCGGAAGAGGTAGGGCTAAGAGAGCGGAACAATGGCACCAACAGAATGACGGCGAGTGGGGGTCCGACCACTCGAGTCATGAGCGCCGCCAACAGAACTCATTCTCCAATAATAGCTCTTTCGGTCAAAACCAGGACTCATCCAAACGTGTCATTCAAATTGAGAGCACTTTCGTGGGGAAAGTGATCGGAAGAGGCGGTCAGACCATCAAAGAGCTGCAGAACAAGAGCGGCGCTCGGATTCACATTAATAAGGATTCGAGTGGTTGTGACACTGATATTGAATTGAGTGGAAGCAGTGGTCAGATAGAAATGGCTGAGAAACTCATCAAAGAGTTGACTCAAAATGGGGGCTATTCTTCACAGCGAAGTGAGTCCTACTCTTCGCACAGGAATTTCAGTAATAATGACTGGAATAGTGATTGGAGTAATGAGCCGAAGAAGGAGGAGAAGGCGACCCCGAGTGAGGAGTTCGTGGACTGGGGGGCGGCCATCGCTGAGAGTGAAGAGGCGACCAAAAAGAAATGGGCGTCACTTCCACCCATAAACAAACAGTTCTACTTCGAGAACCCAGACGTGAGAGCCATGAGTGCAGAGTTTGTGGACAACTTTCGCACTCAAAATAATAACATAATTGTCAGTCATTTCACTGAAGGCGACACTCGAGTCATTCCTAATCCCATTCAACACTTCAGTCAAGCCTTTGAACACTTCCGTTAGTTTACAGTAATTACTAGTAATTCTTTAGTTCTGACGACTATTTTTAAACTTTTAGCTGAAGTTTTGGACGAAATCACGAGACAAGGCTTTAAGACGCCGTCACCCATTCAGTGCCAATCGTGGCCTATACTCCTCAGTGGTTATGATTTGATAGGCATCGCTCAGACGGGAACTGGAAAAACATTGGCATACCTTTTGCCGGCAATGATACATATCGACAGTCAGGCCACGTAATGATAAGTTTATGATTATAATGGCACAGAATTTAATGAATAGTCGATAGGAAACGCGAGGACCGTCCGGGCCCTACAGCCCTGATTATGGCGCCCACTAGAGAATTGGCGCAACAGATTGAGAAGGAGTGTCAGAAATATCGCTACAGAGATATCAAATGTGTTTGCATTTACGGCGGCGGAGACCGTAACACACAAATCAGTAAAGTTGGCAAAGGAGTGGAAATAGTGATCGCAACCCCCGGACGACTCAATGATCTCTGTATGAATCGAGTCATTAATCTCTCATCCGTTAGTTATTTGGTAATGCAATGAATAATTAATAGTTAAATTGATTGTTAATTGAAGTGTTTATAAAACACAGGTTTTAGACGAGGCCGACCGTATGCTTGACATGGGTTTTGAGCCGCAAATTAAGAAAATAATGCTTGACGTAAGGCCCGAACGCCATACTGTGATGATGTCTGCCACG